TGCTGCTGCTGCTGCTCTGCTACTACTACTACTACTACTACTACTACTACTACTACTACTGCAACTACCAGTGGTTACAAGTTCTTGTCCGCAGCATGATCGTCGCCTGCGTCCCATTTTGACTTTCGTGACTCGAACTCCCAGAGCCTTTACGCCCTGAGATTGAAGTCCTACATGCGGACCACAGCCCCCGAAAACCCTGACTTTGAAGACGTAAGCCCGAGCCCTCAACCCTAAACCCTAAACCCTAAACCCCGTTGCTAGAACAGATGGTCCGTTTGTTGCAGCTGCAGTGCTAGCGAGATGGAAGGAACTGCCGTCCGCCGGATTCCGGGACCATGCAGCTTCTGAAACCTCGTGCTTTTGCAGTTTTCTGCGGGTATTTCCATCGCTTTACTACCACGGACGGTAGTCGTTACTGTGGCGATTCGTATGACCGTCGTAGAACCCCTGCCCTAAAGGCGTTTTTGGTGCCGATAGCTCAGTCAGAGGGCTTGATTTGCCGAGGCGTCGCCTCCACGTGCGCACGGTGGCAGCCCTAGTTGCCGAAGTTTCCCGCTCGAGACCGCAGGGATCCGCACGGTTCAGGGTGTAGACGACTCGACGACGATTTTGCGGCCTTTGGTGTGTAGACGTGGAGGTGGTGCGCTGCTGCTGATGATGGTCAATGAAGATGACGTTGGTGTTGCAGTTGTTGATGGTGCTGCTGCTGCTGAATCTAATGACTCTAGTTCCTTGCATCCTTGAGGCTATCCCTGCATGCAAGCTGCTGTGCTGCGGCAGAAGCAAGTTTCAGTGTTGGGGCCGGCAGGGCCGGCAGCACCTGCAGCGCCCCGCCAAGCCCCACAGTTGCCTCAACCAGATCAGGCACCACAGGCCACGCCGGCTCAAACGGCAAGACCCGTTCTCCTGCAACCTCGTCCTGGGGAGCAGCCTACGCCAGCTCAGGCGACCAGGTCCCTAGTCGTCCCGGTTTCTCAGCATCCATTCCATTCAGGGCCGCCGCAGACGCCACAGCACCCAGCAAGCCGGCTGGTGCAGCCCATGGGACCTTCTGCGACGCCACAAGCCCCAGCCACCCCGGCCCTTCCTCCAAGAGCCGCGCAGACGCAGCCGCCTTTGATGCCTCTGCCGCAGCTCGAAAAGGGCGCCCCTCCAGCCCTGACACCCATTTGCCCACCGCCCGCAGTGGAGACGAGCCAGCAACAGCCGCCCAGCTGAAGGGAGGCATCTGAAGAGAGGACTTGTGCTAGTCGATGGAGTTTCAGAACATCTGGGGTCCCTTTGCATTCAGCAGTATAGTATATAGCCTACAGTCGAGTCTAGTCTTATCTTCTTGTCTCTTGTCTCATGTAGTCTTGCATCGTATAGTACAGGACAGTATAGTACAGTATAGTACAAAATAGTATAGGATAGTCTTATCTAGTCTAGTCTAATAGAGTCTGGTCGCGGTCGTCTAGTCTGGTCTAGTCTAGTCTAG